CCACCCCCTAAGAAAACCCTAACACAAATCTTACTAATATGTGATTTTTGTATAAGTAAGATATTAGTAAAAAGATAATTTAAATAATAAAATGAGAATATATTGTGGCCAGACATGGTTAATTTTAGGAGTATACAGAGAGGGTTGGTATAATATTAATAAGCCTACTGTTTATGTTTACAATTTATTATATAAGTAGGGAAAAGGGTACACATGATCCGCCCATCTCGGCCTCCTGAAGTGCTGGGATTACAGGCTTGAGCTACCGCGCCCGGCAAACCACATACAATTTCTGAAGTTAATGATTCAACAGCTGGAGAGCTCTGATGGCAGAAACAGTATAACTAAAGAATTTCCTAGGTAGTCCTAGTTATTTTTAAGTAGGGGCAGATGAAGGATATTCTTAAGTGTACAGGACTCAGTAAACGTACCACCCCTTTTTTTAATCATGAGGTTACCCTGTCTACATAGTTGTATGCTTTTCCCTCTGGAATTCCGTTTTGTTTATGCCCTCTAAATCTGGATTTTGTTTCCTTTCTGTTTGTGTATCTCTGATTTGTCTTTGCCTATCATTTTACTCTAATTATTTAACTTTTAGATATGGCTATGTAAATATATTTGAAAACCTGGATTTTTAAGAATGATGTAAGTAAGTTCAAGACGAGAAAAGACAAAAACCAAACAGACTATAGGTATAAAAGAAATTGAAACGTTATTCTCTAATAAAAGCACCAGTGTAAGTTGTGTCTTGAGGGAGATATTTCAAATGTATAAGAAACCAGGAATTCTAATTCTTTTAATTGTTCAGAGTATAGAAAAGAAAGCACTTATTTTCTTTACAGCCAGGATAACTAACATGAATACTAAAACCTAGTAAAAGATATCCCCCACCCCTAAGAAAACCCTAACACAAATCTTACTAATATGTGATTTTTGTATAAGTAAGATATTAGTAAAAAGATAATTTAAATAATAAAATGAGAATATATTGTGGCCCAGACATGTTATTTAGGAGGTATAACAGAGAGGTTGGGTATAATATTAATAAGCCTACCGTTTATGTTTTACAATTTATATATAAGTAGGGAGAAAAGGGTAGCACAATAGATCATTTTTTAGATGCTGAAAGGGCTTTTTTTTTTTTTTTTTTTTGAGACGGATCTCAACATCTGTTGCCCAGGCTGTTGAGTGGAAGTGCGCGATTCAATCCGGTTACTCCAAGCCTGCCTCTGGTCAGGCCATTCTCCGGCCTCAGCTCCTGAATAGCTGGGGACAACAGTGCTACCACCCAATGCCGGACTAATTTTTGTTATTT